TTACAAATTAATAATGATAATATTTAAAATATCTTTTTTTTAAAAAAAATAATTTTATTTTAGTTTTTTTTAGTAAAATAATACTTTATTTATTATTAAATTAAAATATAATAAAATAATTAAAATAATATAAAAAGTAAATTTAGATTATTTTTTATTTAATATAAAAAATTATAAAGATTAGTTAAAATTTGAATAATTTTTATTAGAAGCAATTTATTAATTTTTATATTAATATATCAATCTTCTTGTAATAGCTCATATAGTATTTTTATTTTCAAGTTATAATTTTAAAATATATAAATAGAAATAATATTATTTTTAATAATACTAGAATTTGCTATTAAAAATAAATATTAAATAATTATCAAATTTTTCTTGAATTACTTATATAAGAATACTTATTAAAATTATTTTGAAAATTTTATAAATATAATTTTTAATATTATATTAATTTTAACTTTTATATTTTAAGTTTTAAGTTTATTAAGTTAAAGTTAAATATTTAATTATAAAATAATACTTTTCTGATATTTGATTTATTATTCTAGTTTTGAATTAAAGTAAAATATCTTTATTATAAAATAATATAATTCTGTATTATATTATTAGTAATTCTTTAAATTTTATTTTTTTATTTTTTAATTCTCTTTTTTATTCTCTTTTTTTTATTCTGATCTCTTTCCTATTTTTATTATCTTTGGATCCTTTCATTTCATACTTTATTTTCTTTTGATCTATTATTCATAATATAATATCTTAGATTTTCTGTTATTACTGTAATAATAAATATAAAATCTTAATTTTTTGTTTTATAATTCTTATTCTGCTTATAATTTTTATAAATTTCCTTTTATAATCTTTCTTTACTATTTAAATAAATAATTTTATGCTTACTTATACTTGATCTTAACAAAGAATAACCTGTAACAATATAATATTCTGTATTTAATATTGAATTAAATAAATTCTATATCATTATTTGAACTATATAAAATCAGTGATCCTTAATCATGAAGTATCTAATAAAAACAGTTTACTGAACAAATTTCAAATTTCCTAATTTGTAATTCATCCAATCTCAAAAAATGAAAAAATGATATCACGTGAAAACTGATGCATAAATCTCTCTTGAATTATTAAAATGTCGGGAAGGCTAATTTTACATATAATTTTGTCTTCTCGTCTAATATCTTAACGCTAATCGGACGTAATGAAAACTAAATTAGGAAATTTGAAAGTTTGATTCATTTTATTAATTTTAGCAAAAACACCAAAGCAAACTACAGAAACACATACATATTTGTCAAGCCCTACCTTGAACAGTCAACGTTAGGTGCATTTCTTTCGGGACCATATGATTTAAAGAGAGATTGCGTTTATAAGGGGTATAATAATTAGAGGTCTAATAAGCGTGAGACTAGCAGAGAATATATGTGTTAAAAGCGTAAAAAGAAAGTTTTTAATTGTGAACATTATTCGAGCTTTTTACGGATGCAAGTTCTATCTCCTGCAGTGAAATAGTTGATGGGATTTGAGAATTAAAGCTTAATGTAGATTTATCTAAAAATCCTTCGTTTATTATGTAAAGTATGGCATTTCCTATTCCGCCGAAACCACCTGGTTTTTTATAAAGTATAAAATAAAAAAAAATTGAGACACGACCTAGATTATCCGCTCAGTCATACAATAAACTGCCGATTTAATCCGTAAATTTTTTTATCGCCATTGGCAGCTTCGTACATGTATATATATTTACTAACCTACAAAAGGAAGCATATACGTCCAAGGTTCTTCATTGCCAAGTAAACGCACTACAACATACACATAAACTGGCATCTAAAAATTAAAAATTCATAAATTATGTACTAAATTTTATAAGGTAAGTTTTAAAAAGATTTGCTGATTTACCCATTGTAACAAAAAAATCAAAATATATCGTGCAACGTTTCTTGTGGCCAAATACTCAAGGTTGTTGAAAATGTGATTGTCGCCCAGTTCTTTGCGTAATTGTCGACGATGATTCGTTAGCAACGTTAAAATGCGAAAATATGCAAATCCTGTTAAGAATATTGTCAAAAGTTGAATGACGATTACAAGCATCCCGAGATATTTGGAGTTATGACCCGAAGCGCACCTTTTTTCATTAAAAGCAATAAACCTTAATATTTCAAGAATTTTGCAAATAATGCGAAAGTAAGTTTACTTACCACCATCGTTGTGGTCCATATCCTCCCTTGAGAGCTACTAAGAGAACTAATGAAGATACTAGGATGGACAAAGCAAAAACAATCAGGAAAAGTTTGCAATCATATTTGCCGTAATCAAGTCGCTTTTTTCGACAAACTAGTTTAAAATGAAATGATAAAGAATCAATGATAAAGGTATTATTAATTTTGAGCCCAATTTTTTTACTCAATAAATGTAATATGAAGTCTAACCTCGAAAATAAGTAGAAATAGATACTGCAAGGAAAAGATACGCGTTTAGACTTTGGGCCCAAACTGATATTGCACTGATTATCTCACACACCGGGCTGAACCATGGAATTGCATATGTAGCGCCGTAGCTCTTTTATAAATTAAAAAATTTTTTATATATAAATCTAAAAGAATCGTTTAGTGCAACTCTAACGATAATAAATATTTACTATGTTAAATATTTGTGCACTGGCTATTAGCAAATCTTTATAAAAGTTAAATTAGTTTTAAGTGGGTTGTCGTCATTGAAAAATATATATATATATATATTACTGCTTAAGAACAAGACTCACCAGTTGTAACAGTATAAAATGGCAGTCTTAATGACATAGGAAGTGTTTCGAATTTATTATTCTTCCATTTCGCATATGTTCGACTTATTACATAGATAGAGCCAATTAAACTCAAAATCAAAAAGAAATAAATAAATATAAAAATTGTATAAAAAGTGCGATCTTTTACGCCATTATATGGTCGCGTTGGAGGCCAGGTTGATGGGGCATTTAAGTTTGGATAGGTATTCGTACTAGCCTTCCCAGAAGTAGTCGCAGTCGAAATTATGACGTAATTACTACTGCCTTGGATGCCAGTCACAAATTTAAACATAAAGATGATCAAAAGAAATCGGTATTTAAAAAACATTTCTAATGAATTAATTGTTTTTCATTCTATATTGAACCCAAACAAAAAAAAAGAAAAATTTAAAACAAACTTTATATTATGCTAAAGCGGGTGATAACTGAAGTAACATTGGTACGTTAATTTCTAAATCACCAAAGTAATAGCGATCGTGATGGTATTTCTTTATAGAAAAATTAATCTCGCACCACATGTGTGCCATTAAAAGTTCTACCAATAGATACTGTGTTGGCATTATCCGTTTCATATCGGGATAGGCCGCAAGTGATGTAATGCCATACTTTTTATTCGTTAGATATGTCAATTCCGTAGCTGAAACTTGAAAAACGAACCAAATAAAATGAATCAAATGTAAATAAACAAAAAAGACTGCAATAAATTTTGATTGAAAAGGAAAATTTATTCGAAACTCATCACCCTTCCAAATTAAAGTATGTATTCGATTAAGCTTCTATAGATTTCTAAGATCCTACATTTAACAATGGTTCTTTACTTCGGCCGAAGATTAATTTCCTATTTTAAAACTTACTTTTTGTATTACCATTGTATTATAAAACATGTACATTTGCACAATTTTTATTTGCAATTCAAAAATGATAAGAGTCGTGGTCGAATTATTGGTATTTAGAAAGCGAATGAAAAAGTGCTGCAGGAAAATACATCTAAATCTAATCAATAGGATTGATGCATGGTTAATCAATAGAATCGATGCATGGATTAAAAGAGAATGGCTTACCGAGTATTAAACCTTGGCAATAGCATAATTTTCACTAATGGACCGAATACTTTCGGAAGGATGATGTATTGTCTAAATCAACCCACGAACAAAAACTAAGCTATTGGATTCCATAAGAAATTTGTTTTGTATAACTGTATACTACAATATTGAATACAAGTATAATGAAATTAAGATGTAAAATTAAGGAAATAAAGCATGTATAAAAGATGTGCGATTTGATGATCATTACACTTCTTATTATCAACCACGAACTTGTATCAAAAGAAATTTATTAATGAAATGAATTACGTTTAAGAATTACTAGAAATATGAAAGGGACCACTTTTTTAATGTCTTTTATACCATTTTGATATTAAAAAAATATTTAGATAAATTCTAATGAAGAAAACACTCGAGTATTAACTCGAAATCATAGTTAAACACAGATGTAAACTTTGGAAATTCTATACGCCCGGGATAATTTACTTTTTCTGCTGTGGCCTAACATATTATTGTGAATAGTATTAAAATTTAAATACCAAGCTAAATAAACAAAATAATAAAAACTCAAATTATAGGTCGGTAAATACTAAATTCATTGCATACAAACATAAAATTATTAAAATTTAACTGAATTCACTATAGATAGAGTGTAATGTTACAAACACATTTTAATTAATGTATAAGAATCAATTGGCTCTAGAAAAAAATGGATATTTGGGATTAGCAATATTGAAAAATCATATATAATTTTCGGTTTGATGAAAAAGTTACAATTTTTAAACTTAATTTTTTGTACAAAATTTTATTTTTTTTTATTTGAAACTAAAATTTTCTTCAAGGTTTAAAATTCTTGATTCTATTTTAAGATTTTGCTTATTTAGCTTGGATATTTAATTTCAAAATAATATGTTAAACCACTGTAACTCAATTGAAATTTAACTGCATAAATAAATGGAGACTAACCATTAACCAACCAATAAAAGCCCCTGTGGTGTA